ATTTTTTTCTGGAAAAGTTTTACATTTGTCCGGAAAATTTTCAGATCCAGTGTCACACAGTGTCACGCGCACACTCACCAGGCACTCGCAGGTCTGGCACTGGTAGATCCACCTCTCGCCCGAACGGAAGACGACGTGGTGCAGCTCCTGGTGGCGGCACGAGGCCGCCGGGTCGCACTGCGGGCAGCAGGCGCGGGGCGCGCGGGGGCCGGCGCCGGAGCAGTCGCAGTCGGGGCCGCGGCAGGACAGGACCCCCTCGGAGCACGAGCAGCGCTCGCACGGCCGGCCTGGGGGCACGGCCTCGCCGCCGTCCGGCACCTCCAGCTCGCCGGCCACGCAGCCTGTGGGGCAGACGGGAGGATCAGACGGGTCCTGGCCGCTGGCGTGCACACCGCGCGGCGCCTCCGCCGGTGGGCGGGGTCAGGGCGGGGTAGTACTTACTGAGCTTGCAGTCCGGGTCGCCGGGCGCGCACTCGCAGGCGAAGCCTCCCTCCGTGTTGACGCACCTCGCCGAAGGGTGGCACGTGTGGCTGCCCTCCAGACACTCGTCCACATCTGCGGCGGGACACGACCCAGTTAGAGAGATTCAACGTCGTCGACAAGGATACGCATCCGCGAAATCGGCGGAAATAAACGTCAACACGACGCCGACGTCTATGGAATATTTCCCGCATGGAAATGCTTTGGTTGTGTGTCACCACTCACCCATGCAGATGGCGCCCCGGTCGGCGCGCTCGGGCTCCGTGAAGGCCGTCCTGAAGCCCGGGCGGCAGCGGCAGTAGTACCAGCCCGGCATGTTGACGCAGTGCGCGGCGCTGGACGGGCAGCGGTGTCGGCCCTCGGCGCACTCGTCCAGGTCCAGCTCGCAAGAGGCGCCCTCGTAGCCGCGGCGACACTGGCACGTGCCCGGCGCCACGCACGAGCCGCCGTTCAGGCACGTCTGGTTGCAGACGGCTGTCAGCGGGAAGAGAAATCACATTCATTCATACTATGTGTTTCTAAAAGTTTCATTCATCCGTTTAAAATTGTGCTAGAACCCTGATTTACTGTATTTAAAATTTCCGTGATTTTTGAGCAGTACTCAAGCCTACCAGAAGGAAAAGTCCACCTCCCCCTCCTACCCAGTTTAGAAATCCCAAATTTGACGTTCTGCTTCTAGTTGATCGGCTCGGCCATCTTCGGATGCAGCCCCCTTGGCTGGACTGCCGGAGTGTGCGAGAGAGCGCTGATTGGCTCTCACCAAATGAGTGAGGGAAACAAGCAGGTGGCTTCGCCGCTTCGCCGAGGCCGGGCGAGCGGTCAGTTGCAGTGCAGAGCCAGAGCCGGGCCAAAGTGTCGCGAGGTGTCGGAGTCGGAGTGCATGTTTTGTGTTGTGATTGTGCGATTGTCGTGGAGTTTGTGATAAGCAAGACTGCCAAAGGAGGGGACTGCCTGCTCCGCATGACGTTTCCGGCGGGCGTATGAAAGCATCATTACTTAGAGGTACCGTACGCCGAAAACTTGGCGATGTTTTCGTGTCGGCACGACCCCTTTTTAGACAGTCCCCAAGACTGTCTCTATGTTTGACTGTCTCGCATACTCACGCTGGCAGTTGAAGCCGTCGCCGGCGTAGCCCTCGGCGCACTGGCAGTGGTAGCTGCCCGCCGTGTTCCGGCAGGTGGCGTCCTGGTGGCAGCGGTGGCTGCCCGTCGAGCACTCGTCCACCTCGGCGCAGTTGAACTTGTCGACGCGACGATAGCCGTCCACGCACTGGCACACGTACGAGCCGGGCGTGTTCACGCAGCGCGTGTTGCTGTGGCAGTGGTGGCCCTCCAGCCCGCCCTCGGACTGGCATTCGTCCACGTCTGGAACAATCACCGGACGGTTGAAAATGTTTTGCAAAGCTCTGGCTGCAAGTGCTCTTGCAACATATTGCAAATGAGCTGGTTATTTCAAAACCGCTCTCAGCAGATTGAAAATGAGCTGGTTGCTATAATGCTTGCAGCAAATTAGCTAGTTGCAAAAATGCTTGCAGCAGATGGCCAACGAGCCGGTCTCAAAAACTGCCTGCAGCATATATTGCAAATTGCAAACTACACCGCAGCCGGCTGCGTGCCACTCACTCACCTCTGCAGCTGTGGCCGTCGCCGGTGAAGCCCGCGTCGCAGTGGCACGCGTAGGTGGTCTGGAGGTTGAGGCACGTGGCGTTGCGGTGGCAGGTGTGGCCCTTGGCGCAGTAGTCGACGCCCGGGCAGAACTTGCAGCACTCGCCCGGCACGCTGAACTGCTGCGCGGCCGGGCACGCGAGCGCCGGGCACATGGTGTCCGGGTCGATGCGCTTGCAGTGCATGGAGCCGTCGCGACACTCGCACTCCACGCACTGCTTCAGGTTCACCGACTCGCCGTGGTCGTACAGCACCCCGCGCAGGAAGCATTGCTCTGGAAGGGAAGGCCGCACAGCAGTCAGGACCACCCCTTCTTTTTTGCATGCAGCTAGTGGTCGTTCTGGATACTACGTGACTTTTAGGCGGGGTACGAATATTATGGGGTTCCAAAAAGATCAGGGCCACCATATTGAAGCCCGTATGACCCCATAATGTTTGTACCCCGGGGTACAAGTACCATGCGATCTCTACGGACTCCAATGATGTTCCTTATCATTTTGGGGAACCCATAACATTTGTACCTCCTCTAAAAGTCACGTAATATTGGAACGTTGGAACGGTTCGTATGAGTTTGTATGGGTTCGACACTCACTCAAACAGCTGGGGCAGCACTCCCCCGGGTTGATGACGGGGTTCTTGCACGCCACGAGCGGGCACTGCAGTGGCCTGCACTGGACCTCTCCTTGCTGTAAACACGTTTATTTACGATTACACAACCGACCTGATCTGCACCTAACTTCTACTGCCCTTCCATGACCGGGGTCGCTCACCACGCAAGCGCAGACGTCGCAGCCCTTCTGCCAGGTGGCGCCGTCCGCGTGCACCGACCCGTTGATCCTGCAGCTCTTCTGGCAGTCGCACTCCTCGGTCCGCGCCACCCTCACCTCGGCGGCCGCCAGCTGCACATGCCCAGATATTTATTGTTATTTCCATGCAGTTTCAATGGCAATACAGTTTCTATTTTTTCAATGTATGGGGGCCCGGCCCGGCCCGCCCCCCACACAGCTCCAGCGCCGCGCCCTCCCCTGCGAGTGGAGAGCCGGCACAAGGCGCCAATCCGACGGCTGGAAAGAATGAAAAGGGAAGCGAAAGTGCATCGGAGCGAGGACGACGAGAGAGGCTCAGCCACAAGGGCGTCGCGCCTGGGGCTGAGCCGAGGGTGACCGCGAGGGGGCCTCAGGGGGAGGGGGCGGGGCAGGACTACACCCCCACACAGTCAGCCGCACGCCGAGGGTGACCGCGAGTGGCCCTTAGGGGGAGGGGGCAGGGCAAGACTACACCCTCATACAGTCAGCCGCACGCGTCTCTTTCTCTTTGGTGTTTTGTGATGAAGAGTTGACCATCCAAGCCGTGGTCGTGGTCAGCTGCTGTCGAAAAATTGTGGCTGGTTCAGCTACGACACGTCTGCGCGGATGAGGTTTCTGCGTGAAGCTTGAAGTGCGCGGTGTGGGGGCAGTGCGAGCGATGGGGAGTGCTTCGAAGTGGAGCGAGCAGGCGGCGGGCCTTGCAGAAGTAAGTGATGCTTCTTGGAGGAGAGGGGCGGGCGGGGCGGGCTGCCGCAGAGGGAGCGACTTTTAAAAGCACTACCTTGTTCAGGCGTGCTGCTCGCCCTGCGGCCCTCCCTCTTCACCCCCGGGGGTGCAGAGGCCGCGCACAGGCCTCGGTGACGGCGGGCGGGAGCAGCGAAAGCAGCGCGAGGGGAGTGCAGATTTACAAACTTGCTATTTTGTTTTGATACAACAGGGGGAAAAATTTATTAATCGTGAATAACAGCGATGGGCTAGGGTCGACCAAACCTGCCCCCAGGGAGGTGAGGAAAACGCCAGGGGAGGACACCCTGCCAAAAATGTTATTTTGCAAAAAGCCAAGCCGGGCGGCGCAACGATGCTGAAACAATTCTTTGTAAAATTAAGTTTTATGTCTGAATTTCCTTATCCTGGCTCGTGTGCGGGGTTGCGGGGTGCAAAACTACGACAGGAACAGGCGTGACCGGTCACCTATGAAAGTTCATGAGATTGTCAAAGGTCTATGGGAGGAGGGTCGTTGGGTTTGGCTGGAGTCCGGCTCTACTGGGTTCTGGATTTGAATCTTTGCTGCCAGTTGGGTTTCTCAACGGGTAGATCATTTGAATTGCGAGGGGGCGTTGGCCTGGGTCGCGCGGTGGAGCGGGCCAATCGCAGAGCACCGCGAGGAGGGAGGGGGAGGGGGGAGGTCAATGGTAATGCGACATTATTCCGTCGAGTCCCGGTTCCACTGAGCGGGCCGCGCTACCCGCTCACCACCAGCCGGCCCCCCGCGCGGCCTATGCGCCCCTGCCACCCATCTGGCGCCCGCCCCTGCGCTGCGCCTTGCCTCCACCTCCTCGAACAAGTCCTTCAGTTTATCGACGGAGACGTTGCTATTTGCATACAGCCTGCAGCAGCGCATACCCCTCCTCCTTCCCCTTCGCCCTTCTCCCTCTTTGCAGACATTGTACAATAGCTCAAATTTCGGCGTCAGCACTCGTATTTCAAACCAGAAAAACAAAAACCTGTGGCAACCATGAAGTGGTAGACCAGGGACAAAAAATAAATAAAAATAAAAATAATGAAACAACGCACATGATTGTGCTAACAACGAGACCGCTAGTTTGACCAGTTCCATCGTTTTTGTTTTGATCAAAAGATATTTTGTATCCTACTACAGGATGGTTGATACAAGTTTCCATTTTTGTGGGTGTTT